GAAACTTCAGAAATGTGTTGCAGAGAAAAAGTGTATTAATGGTACATTACTGGGGTCAGAGAACAAACTTACAAAGTGGTGGTAATGCAATGACTATATAAATATTAAAATGAGTGGTAAAAGTCTATTGGGAGAATGTCTGTAAGGCAGATGGGAGATAAGAGAGGTAAAGCTTCATCTATTTCTAAAGGAAGTACTATAAATATGCCAAGTCTAAAACTGTTAAGACAAGTGTATAAACACATTAATTAGAGGTGTGAAAATGGTTATGGGGGGGAGAAGGGGACACGTAAAAAAGTACAAACTGATCAGTGCCTCTGGGATCTGAGCCTGAAAGGTAAAGAAGGCAGGGCAGGAAATATTGTATGGATTATAAATATTTTATGTCTTTGTGCACATATTGAGTTGACAATTTTAAAAAGTATATAAGAGCACATGCCCAAAAACCAGTTCCAGAAATTTGGAATCAGTAGATGTGGGGACACAGGAATATGCATTAAAAACAAAATCTCCCCCAGAGATTCTGACAAATTCATTCTTGTGCCTCTGCTTGTAGAAACCCAAATAAAGAGGTAGCAACTGGTGAAAGAGCAGTAACATCGATCTGCCAAATGGGGAAATGCCAGGAGCTGTAGGAGGTCAGGATGTTGATCTCCCAGACAGCTTCCTGCCACTTCACTAATAAAACGGATCCACATTAGAAGAAGACACATAAAAATAAATAGGTTGCAAGTGACCTCATCATTCTACAGGAGAACTTTATGGATAGGTCAGCTTTTCTTCCCTCTTATATTTGTTGAAAATCAAAAGCCCTGATTCAAAAATTAGCCTGGGGAAAAATGTGAAACCGTATGTAACGAGGGAAGCCTTGTACCTGAAGCATGTTGGAGCAACTTTTTCAATCCTGATTTTTAAAATAGCTGCAAGAATGCTCTCAGAATCTCTGGTGCCTATAAATGCTTGCAGAACACGTAATAATCAGAAGTAGGCTGGCTTCTGGGACACTATGATAACTTTTAGGAAAGCTTCTTCTGGAATATGACATGACGACTAGGGATTGGCTCAGTTAGTTGTCCAAAAGCAGGGAGGAGCACAGTATCCTCATTTTCTCTGTTCTCTACCCCTTTCCAGGACTCAGTGCTGACTGAGAAAGAAAGAATTCCCCCTTCACCCTGGTTTCTATTCAGCACGATCCCAGGTCAACTTTTTTGTAGAGTAGATTTTTATTAATGTCCACACAAACTATTTTTAAAAAATATACACCGTATTTTCAGGCGTATAAGACGACACTGTGTTATAGTAAAAAGCCTGCTCAGATTGGCCAGAGTCAGAGAGTTCTTTTTTAATAAAAAAAGAACTGGGGTTGCCTCGGAAGTGGGGGGTAGTCTTATACAGCGAGTATAGGCCTAAACCTATGTTTTAACTGTAAAATTATACGCCGGAAAATACGGTATTATTGATTTTTTACATAGAGGAAGAGAGAGGGATAGAGAGTTAGAAACATCAGTGAGAGAGAAACATCGATCAGCTACCTCTTGCACACCCCCTACTGGGGATGTGCTCACAACCAAGGTACATGCCCTTGACCAGAATTGAACCTGGGACTCTTGGGTCTGCAGGCCAACTCTCTATCCATTGAGCCAAACCATTGAGCCAAACCGGTTTTGGCTCACACAAACTATTGATATCTCTTTGCCTAAATTAGAGATCATCTAGAGCTAGAACAGTTGATTAAAATATTTTCCTGCTATTTCAATGTCAAATGAGACTCCTCATTTTTTTAATAACTTTATTAATTAAATGTATCAGGGTGACATTGGTTAATACCAATGATTTATTGTTTATATGTAGTGACTATTAATTTTGTTAATTTTAAAGTTCATTTACAGATGAAATAGTTACAAAAAGGACATTTATGTTCCTAAAATGCATTTGTCTTTTTAATTTCATCTAGAAACTGGAAAGGTGGCTTCTTTTTGCTTCAATGGTAACATATTGGTTGGATTACTTTGACTAGGCTATACAGTGGGATTCAGCCAATTAAAATTTCACTTAATTTTGAAAAGCGTCCATCCATCCATCCAGTACTGATGAGTACTTGCTATCTGCCTGGCACTGTCAGGATAACAAGTAAAGAAAAAAATCGGAGGGTATATCTCTATGTTTAATTGATTGAAAATTTATATGAGAAAGGTTTTATACATAGGTATGTATACATTTATAATATCTATGTTTTTTAAATTGGATTCTATACTGTTTTCTGATGTTTGTCTAAATAGTTCATGTTTACAAGTTATAGTTATTGTTTTACTAGATATTTCCTATGAACATTCACTGAAGGTAAAATATTAGTGTGCACTGCGATGGCATATAAATCTTTTTCTAGCCATTCTCCCAGCTGTGCCTTTGCATATGCTGTTTCCTCTTCAGATAGCTCTCCTCACTGTCCACCAACAACTGTCTATTCATCATCCCAGAGTCTGTCAGGCATCATTTCTGTGAGTCCCTCCCTAAGCACTTCCCAATTGAGTCGATTATCCTTTCCTTTACACCATTTCTGGACTTTGCACATATTTCTATTATTGCATTAATGTAAGTATTCATTAACATGCCACTGATTATTCAAGCTTCTTGAGGAGAGAAACATTTGCCTGTTCATCTTTGCATCCTCGGTAATGAATGAAATGCCTGGCACAGATGGCTAGTCACTAAACATTAGCTCGACTAAACTGAGGAGCCATTGCCTCTATTATAATATGTGGAATGCCACAGAAATGTGTCCACATTTTATTTTAAATTCTCTCAAAATGTAAAATAAACATTTTTGAATAAACAATAAACAGTAAATTTCAATCTTTATTAAACTCCTTTCTGATGAAAAAAATTCTCATCCTTACAAAAGACCAATAAAATTATAATATAGCTAGAAACATAATTTTCCTTTTAAAAATTTCTGTTGCTTGCTCCCCCCACCCCACCCCCTTCTGACTTTGTGCCAACAGCATGGTTTTTACAGATTTATCCTATTATTATGTTACAATTAGTTGTTTATATATCCAAGACCCCACCTAGATATAAACTCCTACAGAACCAGGACCTTGTCATATCCATCTTTGTAGTCCTGGTATACTACAAAGACTATGAAAGGGAAGAGCTTAGCAGGTTGAATTAATACACAGAGGAAAAAATATGAGACTGTAAATAGAATTAAATCTTAGATTTTTCTTTCTCTATTAGAGCCTGATTTGTGATTATCTTGGGGAAAAAAACCCTACAAACTTCAAAACTTTGACTTGGTTGTTGAGTAAGACTAGCTTAGACAGTGTGGGTGTAGCAAACCAGGAAAACATGTAGGAAGGGGAAAAGCTTAGCTGTGCAAATATCTTCATTTTATTTTGTCTCTTAAATTTACAGTGAAAGAGGTCTTTTCTAGTTTTAAAACATCGAGTTGAGGGTTGGGTCAGAGGGGGGAAAAATCACTGTATCTTTATCATGAAAAGGAAGAGGTTTGTTAAATATTTTACTGAAGTTCAAAAGCTTTGGAGATCTTTTCCCCTCTGCTAAGATGACATTATTCCCATCGTTTCCTCATATTCTAATTGTGGGCATGAGAATGAGTTTTAGTTGAGTCATTTGCTGTTTGTGATTTTTTTGCAACATAAAGGTATGGATGTCTAGTGAAATATCACCAGATGAATCAGTAAAGTGGGACACTCTCTAGCTTACTCTTGCAGAAAATTATGCACACAATTTTTTACAACAGTACTGCTTGAAAACACTAGTTAGTTTTGAAACTTAACTTTTAAGGAGATAAAGCCTCTATTAAATGTATTATAACTCACTAGTGAGTGGGAGTGACAAATATACCTATTAGGTAACCCTGAAACCACTTAGGAATTGGCAATGAAGCACTGATCATTTTTGAAAATAAAAATTCCAGATGAATATCTCAATTTTATGTTGTTCCTTCATACACAAAGTACTTTAAAATCTATGAAATCAGAATTTATAAATCTATAGACCATAGAAAAGACATAACTTTTCCTCAAAAGAAATTCTCTACTTTGTGTAGCTACTAGAACCCATTGACTTTCACAAGTTTATATAATAAATAAAATCAATCTTGTGAAAAATGTGAAATGGTGATATAGTTTTTTGGCGTATAGTTACTATACTTTATAATACTCTAAGCCATTTCAAAAACAATACTACACAATTTTCAAATCAGCATTTTTAAATACACAAGTTAAAATTTGATTTCTTCTTTTTTTTTTTCCTGCGTAAGTACCAAACTATGGGACTAATCCAAGGTCATGGGCCAGAAAGAAGAATTTAAAATTAGACTGCAAAATCAGACTTAGTTCATTACTTTTTTCTTGACCTCTGTGCACCTTTCATATTTTATGATTTTTAGCCTTAGCAATTTGCCTCTGCCTTTCCATGCTAAATTAATTTTGATTATAATTTGATAGACATCCAAGTAACTGCATATAAACATTAATTCATAAGCACTAGAGATGAAATCTAGATATTAAAGCATATGGGGACATATAAAGATGAATACCACTTAAAATTTTTTTCTATGAGGTAAGCATGAATATTTAAATATATAACATTGGCAATTCAGCATGAGAATATTACAAGATTAATACATATTAAAAATATCAATGACTGAATATAAGCTAGAAAAGTATGAAATGTTAATCACATCCTTAAGAAGAAAATCTAGAATTAAATTAGAAAAGTGTCAATCTCAAGAGTCCACTGAGTCCAGCAGAGAGAAGGGGCAGTCAGAAAAATGAGGCAAAAATGACATTTCAAGCTGCTTCCAAAATACTTCAATGTGATTCTCTTAATATTAGGAAAAACAACTTGTGGTTTTCCTCGAGTTAAGTGACCTCTGACTCTCAAATTAAGAACACAGAAAAAAGCTCCTCATGTTTTGCCGTAGAAAAAAGATGATGCAAAACTGTTTTCTCAAACAGCACTTAGGAACTTACCTGTTTCCATTTTTCCATCCTGTGCTGCGGGCCCGTCCGGAATCACACTTTTCACCTGCAGAAACTCATCGGGCTCATCTCCACCAATGATGGTAAATCCAAAACCCATGTTGCTCTTTTTTAGGGTGGTGCTGAGGAATGTTCCCTTCAACTGGGATGCATCCCGGGTGAAGAGTGGTTTTTCTACATTGGCCAATATAAGTTAAAAAAGAAAGAGCGTGTTAAGGCAAGTTCTCACATGGGGAAAGCAAGCAAGCTACTGAGCAGCCATCCAGAGTCACTGTGGGGTCTCCCACAGTAAATGCAAGCAGCGGGGAGGTGCTGTAGGGGCAAAGCTCTTAATACTTCTTCCAAACACAGAGCAGTCCAACCATCCAGGGAAAGGTAGAAAAGCTGCTTGATTTGGAGAGATATATTTTTTGTGTGTGAAGTCAATGTTTTTATTCACCAAAGTAGCCCTTCTTGTGCTTACAAAGGGCTGAATCAACGTGCCACTGGCAGATAGAGAGGAGCCCAGAGGTTTCTGGGTAGGTTCCTCTTGCTCTAAAAGGGTCCAGGTAAGAGATTCTAAGTGGCTGGTCCTGCACAAAACCTTGAAACCAAAATGGATTATTTTGTTTTAAAAAGAATAGATGCTATGGAATGCTGCCACCAAGTTACATGTCTAAATTAGTTAGAAAAAGTACCTGGATGTGGGACTGAATTAACTTATGCTAATGAGATGCTATAAAGATAAGCAGATAAACCAATTGCTACTGGCCCGGGAGTGTTTTAGGTTACTCTAAAATGTGAGCAAAAGGCAAGCCAATATTTCTAGATATAATTATGAATGTAAAGGTAACACATTTTGTAACAATACGCTGATACATCCAAATCATATACACCTAAATAATCAGAACAGAACTTGAATCCACTCTTATAGGTTTGACCATTAATTTGATATAAGATATGCTTTTGCAGCTATGATCTGTAATAAGTATTTTCCTAACAATGAATGAAATGTTTTAAAAATCAGTCACACTAGGAAACAGAATTAATATATTTGAAATGTTATCACAATCAAGTATTAGATATTATATATATGTATATAGTTATAGTTTGGTTGATATGATTTGACATTTGGAACAGCAAAACTATACATGGTAGCTCAGTTATGTATTTTATGATTTTTTTTCCATTGTTACATTTTTGGTGATATGCAATGGACAAACTATAAAATAATGAGTTATATTTGAATTTTACTTGGCCTATTTACATATCACATATATCTTTTGTTAAACATAGAGAAAGCTTCTTTAAAAATTAAACAAACACACACGCACACATATGTAATCTTTTATTCACCAAAGTAGCCTTTCTTGTGCTTACAAGGGGTAATCACAAGAAAGGGTAATCTTGTCCCTGAGGTTTCCTTTATGAAAGTAATGCTTACAGTTGGAGACCTTTACATTCATGGCAAGTGTGCTGCAGTGTGCAGATCATCAGCAGGCAATCTAGGCCTCCCGCTCACAAAAGCCTCCTTTGCTGGTGTGATGAGGAAGAGCCCGCGAAGACGCGAAAAGTTTGTGCAGCATCTCATTTCACTGCGTGGCTCTAGGGTGCAGTCAGGTGCACAAGCAGCCCCAGACGTACCGATGGGCCAGGGCCAGGGCCTCCAGGCGTGGTTGCGCGGATAATAGGACAAGTCACTCACGCTGCGCCACCTCCCCAGGGCAGGGCGGGGGCGGCCGGGTTTGGGCCTAGGTATGGTCGATGAGGAGTTGTCTACTGCCACAAAGGAGAACAAGCCTCATTCTGGTGCTGGGTGCGTTAAGGACAAACTTAATGATTCTCTAAGTATCTCTGCAGTTTAAATTACCATTCTCAAACCCATGAATCGCCACCTGGCCACCTGTAAATTCCTGTTAACATACTCCCCGAGGCTTTCACTTAATCTGTGGTTGCTAAATACATTAGTTTACAAACACCCAGCTAAAGCCAATAGAGGGGTTTGGGAAAAAGCAGGTAGATTATTTGGAATGGTTCAAACCAAGGCATGTGTGTTGGCAGAGCAGGCAGTTGGATGGACAATGCTTCCCTTTGAAACACTACATGGGGACAGATACCAACCTCGGAAACCTGGGGCCTGCAGGGGCTTGGCTCCACGTTCTGGGTGGGGCATGTTATGCTGCTGGAGCTTCCTTTTTGCTTCCAGGACAGGGTTTTCAAACTGCGTTCTTCTGTTTATGTGGCTGAAAAACAAGAGTTCGAATGAGGATAACGGTGGGGCAAAGTCATTTAAGAGAACATGTGTACAGCTCTGCGGAGAGCAGATGATTAAGAAACACGGAGTGTGATTACAGGCAAGTGCCCACCAGGAATGAAGTCAGCCTCTGCTGGGCCAGCTTCTGCACAGCATGCATTTCTGTGACAGGAGCCAAGTCTCAATGGCTCTGTCCTTCCTTATTACATTAAACTTATGGGTGATTCAGCCAGAAGAACGAGAATGTGCACTTGCTTTCCGGTCTACGGTGTTAGTCTGACATAAATTTGGTGCATTTAAATAAATGGTCAACAAGTGAAATTTACACCAAGTGGTGAAGAGAAGAGTATCATCTAAGCTTTGCAAAGCCCCTAGGGTAAGATAATTCACTGATTAATTTACTCCGATAGCAACCAAAGTCCACACTTTTTAGAGTCAGAAGACCTGGGTTGAAGGGCTGGGACTTAGGGGGAAACACTCCGAGAGCTGTTATGGAAGTTGTAGAGTACCTGCAGGATGGTTGATGCCGAGACCAATCAAAAGTTGAGTATTTCCTTTCTGCATAGTGAGATGATAAATTCATAGATATCAGAGAAAGGGAGGCTACAAGCACCTGTGGGTCAGCCAGATTTAGGGATTATAATAAAAGCATGCCCTCTAGTATCCCTACAATATAATGAATTCTGTGAAATTTAGCGTTCCCTTCCACAGAAGAGATAGAAACCAATGACCCTGCCCAGCAGCAATGCCACGTGGCTCTTTCAGGATATGAACACACTACAGGAAATCTGGCATATGCATTGATTTTGATTCTCTGTGTACACGGAAATAGAATTATGGATTAAAAACATGAAGAAGAGACAGGTTAGAAGAGGAATGAGCAGTTACTGAGTACTCAACTCTGTACCAGCTACTATACATACATTTCTTTAGGTAAGCTTATTGGCAATTGTTTTGTATTCTTATTTTCCCATTTTTAAGGTGATGAGACTGATACATTGGAGGCCAGATGACTTGCTCTAAATCGTATGTCCAGTAAGTGAAAAAATGGGGGTTTGGCCATGTCTATCTCTAAGACCTTCATCACAAACCTTCTCTTTTCAGTGTATGACTTCACAATAGCAAGTGCAGGCATATTTAATGTGCATATACACACACACATGGGTGCACACACACAGTCTTCTCATTTTATGTTTTCTAGAACAACCCAGCAGAAAGCAGAGGAGGTAAAAAAATCAAAATCTCAACAAAAAATTTTATATTAAAACATGTCAAATAATTCCTGGTGAGAGAAAAAAATCAATTGTCAGGAACATGATGAGACAATTGCAATATCTAATTCCTTCCTCATGGGGGACAGGGTGGGGTAGGCCCTGCAGTCAATTAGTCCTGGATTCAAAATTCAGCGCTACCGGTTGTTTAGCTGTGTGACCTTGGGCAAGTTATTAAACCTGAACTGTAGTGTCTTCATCCATAATATGAGCATAATATTCCCTTCCTCCTGGGGTATTTGTAAGGATTCAATGAAATAGCAAATATCGACACAAGGTTTCAAGCAGACATACTCAACAACAAGCAGCAGCTGTTATCATCCTAAATCCATAGGAAAGCTTTGGGGTGGGGAACTTTAACAGCACTGGGACTTTTCTCTAATATAGCCTCTGGTATAGGCTATAGGATGGGCATTCTTATAACAATGTTCTTTGGTATGGGAATTCACTGGAATGTGGTTCAATGTTACAATGTGGTTCTGTCTTATGTAAAATTATTTTCCATTGGAAATAAATGCTACCATAATGCTTTTGTACACCAAAAAGTCACCATGATCTGTGGTGTGTAGTGAAGTATGAACTTTCAAGGCTTCTTTACCCCCATAAACTCAGACAGTGCCAGAGTTTGAAGCCTCTCTTCTCTTGTCTCCACATCCTTTTACTAAAATCCTTGATATTTCCTTAGGTAATATCTTTCTATTACCTAAAGAATTTTTCATCCATAAAATGGGAACATTAATATCTACTCTTGGACTTGCTGTGAAGATAAGAAAAATAATGTTTGCAAAGCACAGATACATACAGAGGACTTCACACTCTTCAAGGTATAACTTATTCTTCAAAAGTAACTTATTCTTTATTACTATTATTAATAACTAGAGGTCTGGTGCATGGGTTTGTGCACTGTTGGGGTTCCTCAGCCTGGCCTGTGCCCTCTTGCAATCTGGGACCTCTTGGGGGATGTCGGACTGCCAGTTTCAGCTGGATCCCTGCAGACCAGGCTGAGGGACCCCACTGGTGCAAGAATCCATGCACTGGGCCTCTAGTATGCATATAAGATCTTTGGTTAATCTATCCCCCCATCCTCTCCTTCTTCCCTCTGAGATTCATCAGTCTGTTCCATGTTTCCATGCCTGTGCATTGAGTGTCTGCCCCCTAGTGGTCAGTGCATGTCACAGCTACTGGTCAAATGGTCACTTAGGTTTATCTATCTATCTATCTATCAATCATCTATTTCTATATATATCTCTATATCTATATCTATATATATATATTACTGCCGATGTTATTGTATTTATTATCTCTATGCTTTCTCCATCTGTCCCATAGCTCCCTTCCTAACCTCTGCCAGCAACATTCCTAGATTGCATTATGCTTAGTTTATTTATTTTCTTACACCCTGCCTCATCATTAAGAGGATTTGAATTACTTTTAAAGAACAATAATGAAGAGTAAATAAAATCAGGGTGAAATCAGTTGAATCTGAGTGGAAGATCAATAGACAAAATTGATAATACAGTGTTTTACTTGTTTACTGGAGTTACATTGCAAATTAGCTTTGAGCTTTCTATCTGCTAATTCAATGGGAGAGAGAAACTATTTATATTCTTCAGAGTATTTAAGATAAACCAAGACAGTTGTTCAGAAGGTTATAGTATTTCTGTTACTGAGTCTTGAGATCATTATTTCCAGATCTTTGATAAAGAGGTTTCTGTGATGTAGTATTCAACACCCTAAGTGATAATTCACAATAATGAACTTAAAGGGCTAGCATAACCTTACCATGCTGTGTTAAAAATATTGATTTTCATTTTTAATTCCTTCGTTAGACTGCGCACACCTGTGTTCATGACTCATCTTTGTGTACTGAGCATTGGACAGAGGGAAAGACAGTAATTTTTTAATAAAATAACTAGATGATAAGTGTGTGTTTTAAGACTTTTGTTTACAGTATATGGAATGGATTTCCAGAAGCCAAGAAACAACTTTGAGGTACATCAAAGTATCAGCTTTCCTCATTTCCTACCTGTTCTGGTTCTTTTTTGCTAGGTGTTGTTCATCACATGCATAACTTTACCCTTAGAAAACACATTATTAGAACACTCCAGGGTTCATTTGCATATACAATTGGGATCCTCCAACTTTCCACTTGCACATAATTATTTCCTTAAAAAAGTCAATATGTAGTTACCTGCTTTATAGACACAATGCCAAAAATATTCCATTCACCATCAGAGTGAGTTTCTAGACTTAACAGAGAGTGAAAATATCAATGAACTAGTCTGGCATGCCTTGTACCCCACAAATAGTGGGAGCTGGGTGTGCTTTAGTATCTTGAGCTAATTGCTAGAGAACATTTACATCTTCACAAATGAAGTCATTCATTTAAAACTTACAATGATCCAAAGTTTTAAAAGACCTATCACAAAGAAATCCGATTGCAGCTGAATAGGGTAGTCTTGTCTTCCATGTGCTTCCAAAATGAATAAGTTCTGGTCCCTTTAGCAAGGATCTGGGGTCTTACAGTGTTTACAAAGAATGTGAATGACAAATGCCATCTCCTCCTAATTGTTTAGGCTCTGGAAGATAATTACTAGCTTTTTCATATAGCTTCCATAAAGATCAGGAACATGAGGAGCTACTTAGAGTTCTTAACTCTAGTTATATCTAGTGTCTTGTCACATTTTACTAATAGAAATCTTTAAGTGTTAAGGGCTAAGGGGGTAAGAGGCATCTTCTGAAGTGGGCATATCCTAACAACACCAGTTTCCCTTTATAAAAAGCAAAGACTAATGATACTTCCATGTTAAAATGGCCAAGGGATCAGGGTATTCAAGGATGGGGTTCAATTCTTGAACATCCAAATGTGGCAGTGCTTTGTAGTTCAGGAAAAACCTGAGGAGTTTACAAAACAAAAACAAAAACAAAAACAGAGAAGACTCAGGCCCACCTAAATCAGCTGAGCCATAATCTCTGAATGGGGTACAGGCACTGGCATTTTTTTATAAAAGCTTCCCAGGTAATTCTAATGTGCAGTTAGGGTTGTTAATCCCCTGAATTAGAAGCTGAGAAAGCCCTGGCCTAAGGGTTATATATCTGTAGCTTAGCTGTCTGAGCACTGTCCTGGCGCTGAAAAGCCACCTATTTGATCCCTGGTCTGGGTACCAGCAACACAGGTTGTGGGCTTGATCCTTGGTAGGAGGCATGCAGGAGGGAGCCAATCAATCTTTCTCTCTATCTCTTTAACTCTCTCTGTAAAAATCAATAAAAAATAAAATGAAATAGAAGCTGAGAAAGTAAAGTAAAGGTACTTGACTAAGGCCTGATTAGATTTAGCCGGATAAGATTTGTGTGGAAGTCTCGTTTTCTGTATGCTGCCTTGGGGAGTACTAGTGCTTCAGAATAGAGGACTCATGAAATCAGAAGGTTCAGAGATGTGAAGTGCCCGGAGCAGAGAAATATTTGTAGCTGATGGGCCATGTGGCCAAAGGCATTCTGTTTGACTGCAACCTCCTTCACTGTGGGGAGGGCATGGAAGAAACAGGAGGACAGAAGTACATTCTGGGCCCATCAGCACACACGAGACAGGCCTGCTGAGCATTATGACCTTCACACGACCTGTGTTTCCTCAATAGTCCAGGCTGTTCACTCCACCTAATTCTCCTGGGTTCTTGGAGAAGGAAACTTTTAGTGCATAATCACGAATAACACCTTTTCT